TCTAAGCCCAAGGAAAACTTGACTGTCACAGCAGGTCACCCCATGCCCATATGACGAGAGTCTGGAGGAGAGCGTGCACATGCCTTGGTGAAGGCCAGCGACAGCAGTCCTCATTTGTCTTGCTGGATTATGAGTTCATTAATGATCCTTCTGCAGGTTCACCTATGAAAACCTTGTTACGACTTCTACTTCCTCTAAACAACCAAGTTTGATCAGCTTCTCAGCAACAGGGTGCCATTGCCAGCTCCCCAAAGCCAATCTGGAGACCTCACTAAGCTGTTCAATTGGTAGTAGTGATGGGCAGTGTGTACAAAGGGCAGGAACATAATCAATATGAGCTGATGACTCATGCTTACTAGGAATTCCTCATTGAAGAGCAATAATTGCAATACTCTATCCCCAGCACAACAGGGTTTCACAAGATTACCCAGACCTTCCAGTCAAGGAAAAAAACTCACTGGCCCTGTCAGTGTAGCACACATGCAGCCCAGAACATCTAAGGGCATCACAGACCTGTTATTGCCTCAAACTTCTGTTGGCTAGATGCTGATAGTCCCTCTAAGAAGCCTGATGCCAGTGAAAGCCAGCATGGCTATTTAGCAGGTCAAGGTCTTGTTTGTTATTGGAATTAACCAGACAAATCACTCCACCAACTAGGAATGGCCATGCACCACCACCTATAAAATCATGAAAGATCTATCAATCTATCAATCCTAGTTATGTCTGGACCTGGTGAGTTTCCCTGTGTTGAGTAATTAAGCCACAGGCTCCACTCCTGGTGGTGCCCTTCCATCAATTCCTTTAAGTTTCAGCATTGTAACCATACTCCCCCCAGAACCCAAAGACTTTGATTTCTCATAAGGTGCTGAGTGACACATCAAAAAGAGGTCATCCAATCCCTAGTCAGCATAGTTTACTGTTAAGACTACAATGGTATCTGAACATTTTTGATCCCCTAACCTTCATTCTTGATTAATGAAAACATCCTTGGCAAATGCTTTTGCAGGAGTTAGTCTTCAGTAAATTCAAGAATTTCACCTCTAGCAACTGAATACTAATGCCCCCAACTGTCCCTATCAACCATTATGGCAACTCTAGAAACCAACAAAATAGAACCATGCATCCTATTTTATTATTCCATGCTAATGTATTTGGGCGATAGGCCTGCTTTGAACACTCTAATTTTCTCAAGGTAAAAGTCCTGGTTTCCCAATGCACCCAATGAAGGGCATGCCAATTCACCAAGAGGAAACACCTGCCCAGACAGTACAGTGCCGTAAGGCAGACCGCCCAGATGAGCTCAAAGTTCAACTACAAGCTTTTTAACTGCAACAACTTTAATATATGCTATTGGAGCTGGAATTTCCATGGCTGCTAGCACCAGACTTGCCCTCCAGTTGTTCCTCATTAAGAGATTTGAATTGTACTCATTCCAATTATAAGACCCTAAAGAGCCCTATATTGTTATTTATTGTCACTACCTCCCCATGTTGGGATTGGGTAATTTGCACACCTGCTGCCTTCCATGGATGTGGTAGCCATTTCTCAGGCTCCCTCTCCAGAATTGAACCCTTATTCACCATTACCCATTGAAACCATGGTAGGCCTCTATCCTACCATTGAAAGTTGATAGGGCAGATATTTGAATGAAGCATCATTGGCACAAGGCTGTGCAATTTGAGAAGTTATTATGAATCACCAAACAAGTGGTGAGCCGTGTTGGTTTGTTGTCTAATAAATACACCCCTTCTGGGAGTCAGGGCTTTAGTTGCATGTATTAGCTCTAGTTTTCCACAGTTATCCATGTATAAAGATATCATCAAATAAACTATAACTGATTTAATGAGCCATTCACAGTTTCACAGTACAAACTTGTTTATACTTAGACATACATGGCTTAATCTTTGAGACAAGCATATGACTACTGGCAGGATCAACCAGGTAACTACTGATTCCAATGATGCCAACTGCATTTCCACGACTGGCATCAGCTCCTCCCAACCTTGCAACTAAGTGAGGCTGCATCAAGGTCAGAGTTTTTGCAAACCTTTCATCAACATAAGAGACATGTCTGCCATCCTCATATACCATCCGCATTCCCCTAGGGTACTTGCTTTGTGGTTCCTTGGTCATGTCATATCCACATATCTGGATCTCAGATCCAATCCTTATCTCATCTCAGATCCAATCCACATCTTATCTCCAATCCACATCTTATCTCCCTCCAACATCTCATCATCCATTCTGTCCACTTGTCCAGTCCAGTCTACAATTCATCTGAATCCACAACCAGCACTCATATCCTTTCAGTAATCCCCTAACTCTGGTATTTTGGTTATCTGTATATCCATCCTGCTCCCTGATCCGTTACCTATGCTTCATTTCCATTTCATTATTTGTGATCCATTTCTACTTACCAATAGACCATTCATATGCTTCATACATAGCCTCGGACTCTGCTGATTGATCATTCCATTAGATACCTATAGTATATAACCTCCTGTAACTCTCTGTAGTACCTCAGTTCAAATATCATCTTAGTTCTACTCATTCCTGTCCTTTGGACTTGAGTATCTCTACTCTCGTCACTCTCTGAGACTTAGGATTGATTCCTATAGTCTATCCATATCTGCCTCTGTCTCCAACAGTCCATTACCGTTAGTTTCTAGTCTGGGCTTGTCTGGATTAGCTCTATGATACTTATCCCACATCCAGAAGTCATCCAGATCCACTACACTACTCATCCAACCTTCCAGACATGTTAGTCTTGCCTTCCTGAAATAAGGGGCAATACTTGGGTAAGGGGCACAGCGCATGAGCTGAGGCCAAAGCCCTTTGGATCCAGTTATCCCTTGAGTATGACCTTAACAGGTCAGCCCAATGCCCTCCCCCTTGTTTCCTGTTCTCACATATTTCAGACTAGCTTCTCCTCATTCTGAAGAACAAAGATTGCAGCCTTTGATGAGGACTACCAGTGACCAGCACACCTAAAAGTGTTACAAACTCAGATAGAGTGTTGTTCCAATAAAGGAATCAAGGATCAAGGTCAATCAAGGGCTAAGCCTTATCAAGTAATGCCTCCCTCAGGAGCAATCATCTAGACTCCCACAGGATCTAGAGTTCAAATGGGACAGTGGCTAGCCTCCTTCCCAAGGAGCTAGAGATCAAGTATGAAAGAGAACCGAGTAGATTCAAGTTAGAGAAAATACAAGTGGTAACTAGAGTTTATATATGTAAAGGAATCGTGCACAGACCAAGCTGGGCAAAAGGTAACTAGTACTAAGAATGAAAGGTTCATGAGAAAACAAGGTATGAGTCAGAGATAAGAGAAGTCATGAGGAAACAGCACAGTGAAAAGGAAGCATTAATAGTACAGTCATTAGGCATCTGCAGTGATGGTGAGAAAAAGAATAGGGGTACTGTAACAAAAAGACTAGCACAGTCACAGCAGATCCTCAAGCGGTTGATCATTGCAGGCTTGGCCATCGGCAATCAATCCATATCCTTTGTGCATCATGAATGCAGTCCTTGAGAGGAATGTGTTTGACTTCATAGACGATGAGTCCTAAAGACCTGCAAACATCAGGCTACATCACCATCCCAAGTCAGTTCATCCTGCAATGCAGGCACATCAATGACTTGGTCCAAGCAAAGCCAGTCACAAAATCAGCATACTAGACCAATGAGCTGACCATAGAAGGCCAGCTGCATCAGCATTTGACTGAAAGTTGAGAAAAAGTGTGGCACAAAAAGTCAACAAAAACATCGAAAATGCACCCATCAGCCCTTTCATGACAATGGTGTACTAGACTGATGAGCCAACCATGGAAGGCCAGCTACATCGATGTTCAACTGAAAGTCGAGAAAAAAGTGTAGCACAAAAAGGTAACAAAATCCTTGAAAACATGCCCATCAGCCCTTTCATAACAACTCACTCAAGGATCTCAAGCAAAAGAAAGCTTTAGTGTCATGTAAGGAAACCTTCAAAATTTCACCTGTTAGCTCAATTGCATCACATGCACTTAAAAGTGTAACATCTCATTATGAAAGCCCTCAAAAATGCACCCATCAGCCTTGTTTATGTGTCCAACCCTTTTGTTTGTTGTGCCCACTCCCATATAGTAGGAAAGCTGTGTTATTTGTCTGTATTATGCCTAGAGCACAGAAGGTGTGTGGATCAGTGTCTGCTATATTGCATTTTGGTGTGTTTTTGGACTCTGTGGAATTTTGCCTCTCAAAATCCTTGACTTTTGTGTCCACATTAGGAAAAACCTAATGAAAGCGCCAGAATGCAATCCTATAGTGTCCACTATATTAAATGCCACACTTTTCCTATGCAAACACGCCAAAATTGTGTCCACCACTGCAAAACACTACACTTTTGTACATCAAATGCACCAAATTTCATCCCACTGATGTGAGACTCTGCACCAGCATGCCAATGGGCTGCATCAGCAACAAAGTCTAGGGGTTCAAGGTTGTTGTCTATGAAATGAGAGAGAAAGATAAGGAAATACTGAAAAACAGCGAAAATCCCTGTACCTCAGGATGGAGCAGTGGGGGGGATGCCATGCAGTCGTCAGGGGTGCCAATGTGGTCCATGAACAATAAAGTCTACAGGTGAAAGGCAGTTGACTATGAATTGAGTGAGAGTCATAAGGGAAAACACAAGAAAGCCTCATTTCCTAGTGAAACCTAATGAAAATGCATCCAAAACCTGAGCTGACAAATGAACCGGCTCTAGAATTGTCTATCCTGTGTGCTTGTGATGGCAACAATTCTGCCAAATTGGTTGATCCTGCCATACATGGTGGTCAGGAATGCTTGGATACTTGAATAGGAACCTCATCAATATGGCTAAGTGAATCATATGTTGATGTGTATAAAGATGAAGTCTGTTCAGCTTGGGCATGCCAAGAAAGGAACCAGCTCCCTTCATGAGACCCTGACAATACATGGGTTGATGAACCTGACTCTGATTCTGCAGAGCCATACACTGTGTGTGTGTGGATTGTTGGCATAATTCAGCACCCAAATCTCAGAATAAAATGTTTGCAATATTCAAGAAATCAGGCATTTTCATCACTGTGTGCTGGCATGGCTTCCTACTCACCATCTGTGACATGGTGTGAAGTGGCAAGCTGTATCTTAGTTCCTTTGCTCTACATATGATATGCTGATTCTTAATATCCTGCAGTATGAAATACCCAATTGCTTTGATTAAGAAGCTGATGGAGGTTTTCAGGAGCAATATCTTGTACAGGTATGACATAAAATGTGCCTTTGAGAAGATCCTGCTGTGCAGCACAATTGGAGATGATGCCAAGAGGCTCAACGTGCAAGGAGTTGTTCCTGCATTCCATGGACATGCCCACACTTGCCTCTGTCAGCTTCAACACCACTCCAAGTGCAAAGTCAGTGCCAGAAAGGAGGATTTTGAAACATGTGAATGAGTCTTCTCTAAGTCTAATGCACTGGCTTCTGAAACATGTAATGCCACTAACTTCCACTGACACTAAGCTCTTGATGAACACTTCTGTTTTGCTGATATGGACAGGTACACTGCATTATGTAAGTTCACTTTCTGTCCTTCTAGTGCATTGAATAATCTAATTAGAAATTTAGCTGACTTCACATTCAATAATTATGTCCAAGCCTTGACATTGATATCTATGACTATGACTTTTCTTGCCAATTTTCATGCTTCAAATATGTCTCTTGATCCCAACTTTGATGGTGACCTTGAAGATGAATGTCTTTTCCTACAGCAACTTGCATGGTAGAATGATGAATTCAGTATTGAAGTAGACTATGTAAAGGCATTAAATGAGTATGAAGAGGCACAGTAAGTCCTCTTTGCTTCACTGATTCATAAGCTGATGAAGTTTATGTGAGGCTCGCATATGAAAAGGCTCACATAGAGTTCAGTAAACCTGATTTGCGTCCAAATTACTCTGCCAAGGATGCTGGTAATGTCCAATGGCATCATACTCATGCTACAACCAAACATGATCAGAAGTTTGATGTTATTGTTGATTATGAGTGGCAGATGGCCCTGGACAGGTGATGGGGTCCAGATCATCCTGAGTGTATGAAAGCCCAGTCACATATTACCAACCATCTTTATCACAAAGCTATCAATGATGTTGAACAGCTTGTTGTCATGTGACTTCTCAAATTGACCAAGCTCCAGATGAGCAGTCTGGGTACCTGGATTCAATATTGTATTGTTTTTGCATTTCTGACTGCTGCTAATAAGGCTATAAACTTCACACTCAAATATCAACCACTCTCAAGAGTCAAGCCAGTACAATCTGAAATGCCCTAACTCAATATAACAAGTATGCCAGCCAGCTGAACCCTCCTTGCCCCTCATTACAGTGGAAACAAATAGTCAACTACTCATTCTTAGCTGAATTTGACCTGCTCCAAGAAACAGATGCTGAGATCCAGACAAAACACTGTGCCAATCCCTCCTACCAACATGCTTCTACATAACACCTTGAGCACCAGCAAGCTAAGGAAGAGATCTGTAGGCTAAATGCTGGGGTCAGGCATTTGTGCACAAAGATTTGAGATGATGTGTTGGATTATCTGTGAGCCATTATGCAACTTGAACTTGAAAATCCACCACTTGCAGCCCATTTACATTGTCACTGGGAATGGCTGCAGTCAGCTAACAGACAGCACCTTTGGCATATTGAGCAGATTCTACAGCTCCCTGGATATAGTGGTCCTATGTCTTCTGGCACTTGTGAAGGTCAGCAATATGAGGTTACACTTACATTCAAATGTGTGCAACATAGGCTGACAGATGAAGCAGATGAAGGTGAGGGAGACCAAGATACATTAAGCTGGCAGCTGCAGGACATTCATACTTACATTGAAGGACTAGATCATTATCATGTTGACTTGGAATTTGCAGAGTAGTTGTATTTCTCTGCCATTGTATTTTTTGTATTCAATTACTGTCAGATTTCATGAGTTTGCTATTAATTCTTGCTGTGATACCAACCAGCAGCAGCACATATACAATGACAAAGGAATGTCATTTAATTTGATTGCACCAAGCAAAGTCTATGTTATAGGAGAAACTTGAAATGAGATCCTGTGTGATGCACTACTGAGTATAGGCTATGCTAGAATTTTGAATGGTGCAAAACATGGTATTCATTGCACTGTAATGTTGAGCTGTGTGAAATACCCAATGTAAGTGTTGCATTAAATGGTTGAAGCAAACAGTGTCAAACTTGAACATTGAAATGTGCTTGCAGCAGTGTTCATTATGTTGTATTACCAAGTATATAATAACTATTGAGCAAACCTCACTTTCACCCACCCACTATGTTGAAGTCAAGTCTTCCTCATTGGAAAGCCACCTTGCTTCATAGATCACCCACTGTCAATGGCCTTGATGAATTCAAAGCTCTCATTCAGTGCCCTCAGGTTCTTGAATTGGACTCAAGGTTGGAATTCCAGGGTTGAGGAATAGAAGGGATCATGGAAGGAAGTGACAACACATTAAAAGATGTGAATATTCACTCTTCATGCATGACTACATGAAGCTTGGGAGTCACCGTGTGTGGCATAGTGCCTAGAAACTGAAGGAGGCAACAGAAGAAGATGTGCAACAGTACAAACCCTTGTACACAAGTCTGACAGGCAAAGAACAAGTTCATGAGATCACATTGGAAGAATCAGCACAAACAATCCAAAGAATGCAATAAGCAACAGTACAGACTGTTACATGCAGTTTGGATTATAAACAAAAGTAGAACTCTACTGTAAACAATAGCAGAACCACAGTGACAGTGACTTGACCCAGAACAAGCCTTCAGGGTTTAAATTAGAGGTGCCAACATTGGTACAGGTAAATAGGTTGCAGTGAGGTATTAGTCATCACCTGGAACACACCCAGCAGTACATGCTACTAGGTGATGGAAATTATAAGTCAATGAGAAGACTCAGCAGTACAGACCACTAAGTTCTAGATAGTAGTTAGGAGTGTGGTCTTTGGCTGAGATGCAGTCAGTTGGCCTTGCACATGACTTTATTTGTAGGTATTTGTACTTTCCTATGAATTGACTCCAAGTCTTTCTTGCCTCTAGCTTATCTATTGCTTATACAACCTCTACCTGACACAATGGTCTGTCTTGTTGCATCTATCCCTTATCCACACCTCCTCTAACACAATAGTTTGTACTGTTGTGTTGTATCTGCTATACTTCAACTGGGTTCATCATCCTGGACTCCTTATATGCCACCTCAACTTTAATTAATCCAGAATGCAAATATGGGGCTGGTATGTACTCACTTTAATTCAAAGCTTTCCATACTGAGCTTGATGAACTTGACCAGGAGCTTGTTGATATGAATTCACTATCCACCATCCACACACAGCTTGTAAACACCTCCATTCTACTACACAAAGACAGGGGCGTTAAGGCCTACACAGCTTGCTGTCTCACCGACATACTCAGGCTATATGTGCCCAAAGCCCCTTATATCCATACCAAGCTCAGGGACATCTTCCAACCAGCTCAAGGGATGCAGAGGTATCATACTATAATGAATACTTCCATCTCCTTGAGTCACTATTGATGGTGAAGAGCATTGTCCTCATCTGCAATCTACCACATGCTGAGGAGCTTATGGTTGACATATTTTGTGACTTTTTTGGTCTTGTACAACAAGGCCTTGCAACAAAGATATATCCTCATTGTGCTCATATACAAGTGTCAAGCACTTCCATCCAAGGTATTGGAGACTATCAGGGTGCTTTTCATGTCAAACAGCATGGTAATCATTACACCACCCATTCCATTACCACCTTCATTAATCTTATATTTCCTCAGCAATCTGCATATTGCCTTGCCATTCAAGTCTGTAATGCCACTGCAGACAAGCTCCAGTGGCACATCTGTTAATATTTCATGGACATCATTGTCATGCACCCTCATGAATCAGACTCCCAGTCTAACTTTGTGAAGCAACTAAGCAGGTCCTGTCCATCTTTGTTGCACAGTGTTATCCTGCAACTCAAAGAGGAATGTATTGGCAGTCTTTTCTTGTCCATCAGGTATCATTTGACCAAGATATATGCTAAAGAAATTTGAAACATCAGGGATAATGAAAAAAATGAAAGTTGTAGTCTGAGTCAAGGTGAACATATTGGTAGGTGATATTAGCACTTGGAGCTTGGATACTGACTACCAACTATTGAGTGTTGGGACTCGGTACTTAAATGGATATAGCATGTATCCATAAAAATACAAAAGATGTTCCTATGTGTTTATTTCTAGGTGAATAGACTTTGAAATTATATCCCCATCATCTATTCAGCAATAGAAACAATGTATCAGGAGCTCAGGACCATAGTGTAATCCTTTATTGTATAGTGTACCTCCCCCTCTCCTGGTGGTTCACTCTCTGGGTATTTTTTCCCTACAGGACCAGACCTCAAGGACAGTAGGGAGTCTATTCCTGAGCATATTTGGAGTAGATATATCATATAGCCAGCCCAGGACACACATGATCCTTCTCCAGGAACAAAGCATAGACAATTGCACTTTTGACATTTTTCATGATTTTCAGTATCTTGCCCTTGCATCCATGATCCAATCTTTTAATATATAATGAGCATAGCTTATATTCTTGCTTCTCATGACCAAGATCAGCTCACAATAGGCTGGAGTTGTGAGCTAGTGTGTATGCTTGCCATTTCTACTGATAAGGGGCCATACCTTCAAGACATTGAATCTTAATAATCAGAAACCTGGAGTATATTTAAAATATATCAAGTATCATAGACATAAATTTACAGACAAATCCACCAAGAATTGAGTGCTGAGGAAGTGGAATAGACAAGAAATTGGGTGTGGGAAACTTCAAAGACCCAAAGCATCGAAAATGGTCAGTTGAGCAGTGGTAGGACTTTAATGCTGGGTCAACTCATATTTTCACTACATCCCTTCCACCCACCCCCTACCCTCAGGGCAGTAGGCAGCATGGGCTCCTTAGGTAGTTTACAATCTATCCTACATATTTGTAATGAAATCTTTGGCCAGAATCATATATAAATGTGACTTTGTGTAAAAAGATGCCTATTGTCACTTTTCACACATATGTCATTTTTGCCTGTCATTACATCAATCCTTCATGGATCTTTCTAAGCTTTTAGGGCTATTATAATGGACATATATGGGAGTTATTCCAGGTCTCTGATCACATCACAGGCTTGTTATGTTGGATATCTCGACATAATGTGCAAGTCTATTGATGTTCATTCTTTTATCTTTACACTCACTTACTGCACTCACAAACATTTACCATAGTCTTCCATCTCTCGCAGATACATATTATAATGAGTTTATTTGTTCTCAGACTGAGTTTCTCATCTCTTGCAGCCTTCTGTCTGTTGCTACTCACATCATGTGATGTAAGGTGCTTCAGGGGGTCAAATAAAATTGGGAATTGGATTGACTACCAAGTCCTGACACTCAGTAAGCAGTACATCAATATTGATAACTGAGTCTTGACTACTGAGTACCGATGTAACAAACGTACAACA